AAGTTTTGTTTCTATGAAACAAAATAACATAAAACGCTACCATTTGGCACATTTCCATAGGATTCCATGTAAACACATTATCCATGGAAAACTATACTAATATGTACAAAAATGTAGTAACACTATATATAATGTTTTCAGCATAGGTCACCAAACAACATTTTGAGAAATAATGGAATGTCAGAAATATGGAAACTACTCAAAACATGCATTTTTCATTAATTGTTGAGGTTGTTTTGTGGAAAACTTAGTTCCATGACTCTATATTTTTATTTCAGAATTTTAAACATTACAGTAACCCAACCCATCTTGCTTTCAAACAAAACAGTTGCCATATTAATTAATTCATCTGCATAACTAAAGAATTCTTAATGAACATTACACTGACCTCAGCTACATCATAAATCCATATCTTGCCATCCGCATCACCAGCAGCAATCTGGTGCCCTGACTGAGCCCATCGAATACGATTAATAGCAGGCTGAGTGTCTAATACTATACCAGCTGTAGGAACCTACAAATATAGATACAATGTCATGTTTTCACACTAACATAGGATGTAGCTTACATGTAGAATATATCTTATTTGCTGCAACATATATTTATAGTAACAGAATCCCATGACTATAACTTGTATAGCATTATGCATTAGTCACAGGATTCTGTTTTTATGACACAACTTTTAAAATTTGAACAAGGAAACTAGATACATGTAATATAGTTATATTTTTTTTCAGAACAATGGCAGTTAACTAGGTAGGTCTTGCCTGCATATGGAATTCAGATTTGTGAGGTGAACTTGTATTTTACTGTAAAACAAAATATCTCTGCTAGACAACATTGATTGATAATATTTATAAGTTGGAGTAAGATTGGGGTAAATTGCTTCAGATATACTGCACACAAGAAACTGACCACAATGATGCAAGACAAACAGCTTTACCTCACTTATATTATCAACAGAGGCATAGCAAAATTTAATCAAAGTGTTTCCAACAATAAGGACAGATATAAATAGAGAGAGAGACAGAGATACAGCTTTTCTGCTTACTTCAGTATCATTGTTAAGATTCCAGAGATCCAATCTGCCCATACCATCAACAGCAGCAAACAGAGCAGGATGGATAGGAGACCATTTCACATCATATACATAATCACTGTGATCTTCAAATGAATACAGTGGCTTTTGTTGCTGTTAACAATAAATATATCAGCAATGATATTGTCATCTCAAGCAAACTTATTTCAAGACATTAGCCACAAATGCAAAAACATGAGTGCATCTCTCAATACATTATATTATATTAATAAACAAAGTAGAAAAGTAAAATCAAAGAAAGCTTAGAAAGAACTCCAGTGTGCTGAGAGTATTGGAGACACAGTAAAAATTAATTCAAAATTACTTAATGTACTTGAGATAAAGCAGAAAACTAATTACGCAAATCAGGTAATTAATATGATTTCAGTGTAAAACTAATAAGGTCTGCGCAATGGAACAGATTATCTATGTACCAAAAAATTATTATGCTAATTAGGGAATTAATATGGACAGATTTTAACGCAAAACTAATCAGATTTGTACATTGTCCTAGAGCATCTTTGTAGAAAGTTTCATTGAAATGTGATGATTAGTACTTGAGATATCAGTGGGAAAGCTTAAAATTGATTAATTATGCTAATTAGGTGATTAATATGCACAAATATTTATCCCAAAACAATCGATTTCTGCATATGTATCTATATGTATCTATGTACCAAGTTTCATTGAAATGTAATGCTTACTAGAAATATGAAAAGCTGAAAATTAATTAATTATGCAAATTAAGTAAATAATATGCACAGATTTTCACCCAAAACTAATCAAACCTGCACATAAGTTCCGAGCATCTATGAAGTTTCATCAAAATCCAATGAATGGCTCTTTAGATATCAGTGGAACTGCCATGGAACAGCTAAAAATAGCTAATTATCATGTAAATTAGGTAATTAATATGCAAGAATTTTTACCTAAAACTAATCAAATCTACTCATAATTTTAGAGCATTTATTATCCAGTCAAAGAGACAGCAGCAGGAAGGGAAAGCGCCAAAGCCTTTGGAGCAAAACTTAGACTCCACTGTGCTGGAAGGCCAGGATGTTGAGACAGCGTGGGCCACGCTCCGTGAGACGGTGTACAACACAGCCATGACGTGCCTTGGGCCAGCTACAAGGAAACACAAGGACTGGTTTGATGCACAGAGATCAAACAGCTGCTAGAGGAAAAGCATTGTGCCTACAAAGCTCATCTCGCCGATCCAAAGTCAGTATAGAAGAAAGACACGCTGAGGAATGTACGGAGCAATATTCCAGTGAAGATGCAGGATTCCTGATTGAGGAACAAAGCGAATGAAATCCAGGGTTTTGCATACAGGAATGACATGAAGCGCTTCTATGACAGTTTGAAGGAAGTCTACGGCCCTACCAACCCAGGATCACTGTCTTCCCTCCTCAGTGCTGACGGGTCAACCCATATCACAGACAAGAAGTTGGTTTTGGAGAGATGGGCTGAACACTTCAAAAGCGTCCTGAATAGGCCTTCCAACATCAACGATGATGCCTTCGACAGGCAACCCCTAGTCCCTGAAGAGACCATGGGCGGCCCAGCCCACCTTGGATGAGATTCAGAAAACAGTCCGACTACTTTCCAGAGGCAAAGCACCTGGTTTGGATTCCATCCCAGCTGGAATCTACAAGGAGGGTGGCACGGCCCTGGTTGAGAAACTTCACCAGCTGTTTCAGTTCATCTGGCAGCACAAGTGCCACAGGACTTCAAGGATGCCTCCATCGTCCACCTCTACAAGCGCAAAGGAAACCACCAAGTCTGTGACAATCATTGCAGAATCTCACTGCTGTCCATCCTTAGCAAGATTCTGGCTAGATTTCTGCTCAACCACCTCATTACGCACTTGGAGCAAGGCCGCCTACCTGAGAGCCAGTGTGGTTTCCTGATAGAGGGTGGGTTTATTGACATGGTGTTTGCTGCCATACAGCTACAGGAGAAATGTCAAGAACGGAACGCTGACCTCTACCCCACCTATGTCAATCTGACCAAGGCCTTCGACATTGTTAGTAGAGAGGCTCTTTGGAGAATAATGGCAAAGTATGGATGCCTCAGAAAGTTCATCGCCATTGTACGACAGCTACACGGCGGCATGCTGGCAAGAGTCCAGGACAACGGAGAGATGACTGCACCACTCCCTGTCACCAACGAAGTGAAGCAAGGCTGCGTCCTTGCTCCCACCTTGTTCTCAGCTATGCTGACAGATGCCTTTATGGACGTTGATGTGGGCATTGGCATCAACTACTAAACGAACAGTTCAGTGTTCAACCTCAGGAGGCTTTGAGCAAAAACCAAGGTTTCGACACCATCAATGACCTCCTGATGACTGCGCCCTCAAAGCTGCCACTGAAACGGACATGCAACACAGCGTTGACCTGTTCTCTGACACCTGCAACAACTTGGCCTCACCATCAGCAAAAAAAAAACTGAAGTAATGCCATCAGACAGCTCCAGCTCCATACATTGAACCAAACATCACCATCAACAGGCAGCAAATGAACTATGTTCACCTACCTTGGCAGCACACTCTCTAAGAATGTAGTCATTGACAATGAAGTCGACGCCGGACTCGCCAAAGCAAGCTCAGCTTTTGGCAGATTACACAAGAACGTCTGGAACAGGAGAGGGATCACCACAGAGACAAAGACTGCTCTACGACTGTGAAACATGGACAGTCTATCAGCAACACGCCAGTAAGCCACTTCCACACTACCTGCCTCAGAAAACTTCTCGGCATCAAGTGGCAAGTTGGATCCCAGACACTGAGGTCCTACAACATGCCTAGCATCCACACCATCCTGATGCAGTCTCAGATTCGCTGGGCAGGTCATGTAGCTTGCATGTCAGACGAGCGTCTCCCCAAGAAACTACTGTTCGGTGAGTTACAGCAAAGTAAACGCTCCCAAGGTGGCCAGAAGAAGTGTTTATAGGACACACTAAAAGCCTCACTGAAGGCTTTCAACATCGGCCAGGGCACATGGGAGCAGGCATCCCAAGACAGAGGAGCATGGCGATCAGCTGTACACAAGGGTGCCAAAGCATGCGAGGCCAACAGGGTAGCTGTTGCTGAAGATCGCAGGCAAGCCAGGAAGAACAGAGCCATCAACCCTGCAACAGATGCCACCATTCCCTTTCCATACAGCCAAAGACTCTTCTGGGCCCAGATTGGCCTCACCAGTCATCTGCGAACTCACAGCGCATGACTTCCCCAACCCCATGATGACTAGATGGTCCTCGTCACATCGACGGACAAAAAACAACACCAAGTTTCATCAAAATCCAATGAGTGGTTCTTTAAATATGAATGGAAAAGTCATAGAACAGATAGAAATTAGCTGATTATCTTGCAAATTAGGTAATAAATATGCATGGATTTCTACCAAAACCTAATCAAATCTGCGCTTTGGCCTAGAGCATCTATGCAACAAGTTTCATCAAAAAACGATGGTTCTTGAGATATCAGAGAAACAGACGGACACACACATACAGATGCACTAACTGCAAAGACTCCCATTGTGTGCTTTGCACACAGGAGTCAATCAGATCAGTTTAATCATTGTACCACAACATTAGGGCCAATACTTATATGTAGATGAATTGAACTGAATTGTTAACTGACACAAAGCTAGAGAACACCTCTGAGCAAATATTATGAGAATACATGAAGTTTGTCACATTGTATATATCACAGTCTATCCAACTCTAGTCTAGGCATTTAAAACTATACACTGTTCATATAATTCTCACCTTTAGACTCCACAATTTAACTGTCCAGTCAAAGGAAGACGTCAGGAACAATTGGGAAAAATCAATTTGACCTTGAACATGTTGACAATCAATCCCTGTTACAGGACCATTGTGACCTTCATAAAGGTCACTAATGCCAGCTTTGCTGTAATGTAATAAGATGGTTTTCAAATACACTGTATGTGGATATAAAACATTATAATGACCAGTCTTTAACACCCATGGCAACACTTATAATGACAAGTCTGTAACACCAACGGCAACACTTACAATAACCAGCCTGTAACACCCATGGCAACACTTACAATAACCAGCCTGTAAAACCCATAGCAACATTTACAATGACCAGTGTGCAACACCCATGGCATCACTGATAATAACCAGCCTGTAACACCCATGGCATCACTGATAATAACCAGCCTGTAACACCCACGGCAACACTTACAATAACCAGCCTGTAAAACCCATAGCAACATTTACAATGACCAGTGTGCAACACCCATGGCATCACTGATAATAACCAGCCTGTAAAACCCATGGCAACACTTACAATGACCAGTGTGCAACACCCATG